ATGCTAACCATGTCACTCCCTATGGGCTGCTAGGTTTGGGAGGACCTTTAACCCATCTCTCATGAACACACTACTGAGGTCAGACTAGTTGCAACTCCTCAAGTTCAGCAGAACTGGCACAGAGCAGGAGTCTGCAGGTCAGACTGAGCACACAATGGTGTCTAAAGCTGTGCACTTGCTTTGTGTCAGCTCAACTCTGCAGCTGAGCTGTACATAGAAGGTTGCCCATTGCTGAGTTGAGCAAACCAAGAACTACTTTGATTTATTCTGGGCTGCAAGAAAAACACAGCTAGCTGTTAACTAGCAAAGGGTCGTCGTCTCCATGCCTTCCTCTATATCAGTGGTTCTCAACCTTTTTAGACACAAGCACCCTTTGGAAAGTGCCAGCTCTTAGTTTTAACTCTTTTTTGCCTACAGGAAAATAATAGAGCAGTTTTTCTGTTGTAAAAAAACTCGGAAAGAGCACAACTATGGGTTTTTATTTGAAATCTTGGGGTTTATCTTGTGAATTGTGTTTGTAAACCCAACAATCCTAGCATTGTGCGGTAACCTTCAAAGAATCTCAAGGCATCCCAGGGTGCTATGGCACCTTGGCTGAGAGTCACGGATCTATAACTTTTTCCCCTGTTATTGGAGCATTTTGGGGCTGTGAAAAAGTCCCTATATTATATAGTTATGCTTCCTAGTACCAACCCTTCTTAAAACAGTTAAACCCACTGAAAAGCCAGGTTAGGCTAGTGGTTGACTTCAATGGAAGATATATATCCAAAACTCTTAGGTTGAAAATCTCATTGTACGTACAGATCTAATTATAGAATAGCAGAAACAACACAAAAGTGCTTGACAACGTTGAAAAATAGAAGGCCAAGCTGAGCCAAGGACTGCCGCTAATAAAACCTCACCATTTATTCACACCTGTTCTGCCTGAGCCAGGCAGCTTGTTCAGAGGGGCCCTGCACCTCAGTGCTGTTCTCAGGCTTTCTGTCTCAGTGAGCAAGACTGAGACAAGTGCTTTGGATCCCTTCATACCGTCTTCCTGCCTTATTTCTAGGCTCAGATGACAGAGAAATGAATAGGAGGTGCAGTTTTCTCCTGGCAGTTCTGGATTCAGGAGGGAGGTGGTACAGACATGGTTAATATGTGCTAATATTCATAATTAAATGTGAATTCAAAGTGATTGGCATTTAATTATAGACTCAGAAATAGTCTTATTGGAAGAGAATCTGGCTGTAATACATTAGATATCAGAGCAAAAACATGCCCGTTTTAATGGGTTTCTGCATTAAACACACACAAGAATTTGTCATATCAGTGCTGCAAAACAGATCTAAAACCCAAGACATGGAGTGGCGGAAGACGTTTTGCACATAGTAATGTGAATTTCACAGAGTCTTAACCACCAATTAATTTGTGTAAAAATGCTCTAGAGTCCCTGCCCCAAATGTTGCTCTGTTATACCAGTTGGAAATCAGCAGCTTAGAATTATTCTAGATTTACACTGGTATAAAAGAGAACAGAGTTTGGCCCAATTTAAGTTTAAAAACAGCAGCTTTGTAATGGAGAAATGTAACTGGGAAATATGATTGCCTCATTTGTTTTATTTTAGTTAAAGGTTGTGTCACCCTCCTCTTCCAGTTATATAAATATCAGGCATATGGGGAAATGTTTTTTCTGAGAGACAACTTCCATCGGAAAATGGGATTTAGCAATTATCAGTTTCCCAGCACTGAAAAGTTCTGCAGAAAGGATTTACAGGCTTATAAACCAACCAGGGCTCTAAATCAATCTTGCTGTGCGAGTCCAACGGCCATTCAATTAGATAGTCATTGAAAACTGACTTATGAGGAGATTTTTGGAAACAGAAGAACAGATGAGGAATTATTGGGTCTTTTAACAGATTTTCTGCAAAATGAGAATCGGAAAGCAGCAGCTTGCACACTAATAGGTGAAAACTCAGAAACCTGAATCACTCAGAAGCAGCCTTTCATGACATTAGCAAATCAGATTGTTATGATATGAGCAGAAGATCTCACAGAGGTGCCTGGGTTTGTACTAAATGTTTGCCTAACTTTTTACTTTGGATCTTTTCTTGATTTCCTTTTTGTCTTATCTGTGGCCATCTGCAAGCTGTGCAAAAGGATTCAATATGTTTTGGAAGATGTATGAAAAGCAAGCTGAGGCTACAAGCTGTTTTGATAACACATTCAACACAAAGACACCATGATTTGTCAGCTTCTCTTCTATTGATTGTTTTCCCTGATCAAGTTGCCCCAAACACTCTTCTAACCTTTATTGTGTCATGTCTTCAAACTGATTAATAATAGATTTTGTACACAAAAGGGCAAAGAATTCCTTTGAAGCCTAGGTATTATTAGGAAGCCTATTTCACTAAAATCCCAGGCAATTCTTGCAAGGCAAGTGAGAGATTTTGATTTTTCTCTTCCTGTTAACCTTTTGAAGGATGAATCCCCCTGGAAGAGTGAAACTTCATTCATTCCAGAACCTTTTCCTTAATTCAGATCTTAACAATGCTTGCCAAATCCAGAAATCTTAGAGACATTTTTGATACTGTCCTCCTGCATCTTCCTTGTCTGCTTCCATGTTTCTTTTGCTTATTACTATAGTGGAATATTAAAGCTGCTATCTATTTGGGGAGGGGAGAGAGAGGTAGGCTGTTCCCAATTGCTACCTGGCACAGCTGTCCTGCTGTGCGCTCCTAGGTGGTAAGGAAAGAGTAATCTGGAGTCTAGGTCCTAGAGATATGCTTGAAATCCTGTGAGAGAGCGCAGAGATCAGTGTGAAATCCATCTGGGGCATATTTAATCCTCTAAAAGGCAGTTGTCAAAAGCAAATATTACTAGGCAGGAAGCCAAGGATAATCTTTCAGTAGCTATAAAAGTTACACATTTAAAACACCTGTTGAGTCAGTTCCTTGTTCCACTGCCCTTACAAACGGTCAGGACCTGGATCTCTTCCACAAATAATTCTTAATGCTGGCCTTTCAGATATGGGTAATGCAGTAGATCAACTTTAACAAGGGTTTTCTTCTCCAAGCAGTTAAAGGGCATCAAAGGAGGAAGCAGACTCAAGGATGGAAGAGTGAGGGGGATTTTTATCTCAGCTAGTCTGATGCTGATCTGCAGTCACTCCGGCATAGCTGCTGATGGACTCATGATGGTGTTCCTAGGATGAGCTGTATTTTGTGAAGATTTTCGGTGCTGGGAAGAGACCTTTTCTTGCTGGGCAGGATTGGGCCTGCCAGTGAATTACAGATACTACCTGGACCAGATGGGTTACAATATGGAAATGTGCATCTTGGAGTCTGAGGGCCCTGAACCACGTATGAGCCTGAAAAGAAATGAAGGAGCATGGAGAGGAAGCCTGCCTCTGTAGCCAAGTTGTTAAAGCAGTTGGTGAGGAGGGTGGAGTTTGATGTTTTGGCCCCTGCTCCAGCATTGTTTATGCATTTTACAAGACTATCAGACACAAAAGAAAGAAATCACCTGACACCATGGATTGGAACCCAGGACTGTCTCTCTTCCCAGGAGTGCTGTAACCACTAGGGTACACAGTCATTCCCCCCCTTCCTTCTGACCCCACCACTGCTCTGTTCTCACCTGCCTCGTGGTCAGATCCCTTCAGGATGGGGTAGACACTGAACCCATCACCCTTCCTGAAGGAGTACCCTGACCTCTAGCATACTGAGCAAAAGTGCCTGCACCACCCCTGGCACCATATTTGTACTAATTTCAAAGCTGTGGATGCAAGAGGGATGCGTGACATGTGTCTGATCTACAAAGCAGGGGCTTTGCTGGGATGGAGGTGCTCTCAGCACCAATATGAGAGACAATAGAGCTTCAGATCATGCACGGGGGCCCAGGGAACTTGGTGGCCCAAACGGGAGGCAAGCAGTAGTAGGAAAGGGCTGGTGGCAAACCCAAAAGTTGGTTACAACTCATCAAGAGTGGCCCAGGTTTGGCATATGCTGCGTTAATTTGCTTCTTCAAAAATTATGGTATATTTTGGACTGGTAGTAGAGATGATATCTTTTATTAGACCAACAACATTTTGGCAAAAAATTGCAAAAAAACTTGTTGGTCTAATAAAAGATATCATCTCTACTATCAGTCCTGATTGCTTTTTTCTCTAGATCAATATGGCTACAACGTGGATATGTGGTACATTTAAGTTGGTCTAATAAAAGATATCAGATTCACCCAACAAACCTGGGCTGGTACATTTTGAACACTTTTACTATGATTGCGAGGTTGAAATTATCTTATAAATACGGTAATCATACTACACGTGGCAACACCGCACCTCCACCTGCAACCACCCCTTAGCACCACCCAGCCAATCCCCTCCCTCTCAACAGTAGCCACGCCCCCATCTCCTAGCCACGCGCTTCCCACAGCCCGCGGCTCCTCCCCTCTTTTCTTCCGCCCAGCCAATAAGCTACGTCCACGGCACAGAGCCTTGGATGCGGAGCTGCCCCACCGGCTGCCTGCTCCAAATAGCGACACTTTCAAACGCCATGAGCGCCGCCAAACCAGCCCCACAGCGGACCCGACGCCTGCAGCAGTTCCATCCCTCGCTGCTGCAGGGGCTGATCCCCAAAGGGGAGGCAGGTGCGCGGACACCCCAGGGGGCTTTATCCCAGCAGGACCCCTTGTTTCGCTGGCATTCTGGGAGTTGTAGTTTTCCCCCGCCCTCCGCTCCCTCCGCTTGGCTGGAGGGCGGGGCCGACCCGGACTACAATTCCCAAAGAGCGAAGCAGCCCGGTGCTGCTGGGGCCTGCTGTGGCCGTAGCCTGGGCGGGCGCGCGCGCGCTGCGCGCTGGGCCCGGTTCCCGCCCGGCCATGGACCTCTTCGGGGACCTGCGGCGCATGAATAAGCGCCAGGTAGGGGGGCCTGTGCCTGAAGCCGCAGGCTGCACAGTCTGGGGTGGGGGACCTTGCTGGCAGCGGGGCCGCGTGTGGGTCTGGGGCGGGTTGGGAGCGATCGGGCTCGTTTGACCCGGGACACGCACACATTATTCCTTAAAAATAAAGAATAAAATTAAAAAACCACCCTGCTGAGCTTGTCCCTGTGGCTTAATGTGCTTTGAAACCCAGGGCGTTGCGGGGTGAGGCAGTTACCCCTGCCCGGAGGCTGCCCCTGCTCGTCCTCATGTCGCTGCGCGCCGGGACCCCGCTTAGTCTGGGCAGGAGCGGGCGTTGAGGTGAAGCCAGCTTGGGCGTCTTAATGGAAAACAGCTTTTAATTCAGTGCGGGGCGCAGGGGAACGAAGAGTCGTCACGTCCGCCCTCGTGGCGTTCGGGGACGGCTGGCTCACCGCGCAGATGGAAAACGCCCCAAAGCCTAAATGCAAAGTAGACATGAGTGCAAATCCTAGCACCTGTCGGGTATCCAGGTCTAGAGGAAAAAGCAGCCAGGACTCGTAGCAGAGATCGAGCTTTCTCAGGTCTAGTTCCCAAGTCTCCGAAGATGCGTTCGCAGGACGGCCTTGTTGAGGAAGGCAGCAAAGGTGAAGTTAGTTTCCAGTTTAGCACTTTTATTTCTAGGCTTTTAGACTCCCCGGGGGGTTTCCGGGTCACTCGGAGATGCCGAGGCGGGCGGGTTATTTGTAATAAGCCAAGTGCTTTGGAGTAACGGTCTGAAAAGAAATAAAACCCTGCGAAGGCAGGTGCCAAGCACTTTTTTTAGGAAAGAGTAAACAAACGCACCCATACAAGCGGGGAGTGACCGGCTTAGACTGCAGGACCGTCCGGATGGACCTGAGGGTTACGGCTGATGGCAAGCAGATCGCGAGTCAGCGTCATCTGGCTGCAAAACAGCTAGTAGCATCCTAGGGTGTATTAGCAAGGACGTGTGCGTGTTGCAAAAGTTCATTTCAGCATTGGTGAGGCCTGTTTTGGGCAGTGCACCGGGACAGATTGGAGGCCAGGGAAAAGCATAATTTTTTTTTTTAGGAGTTTAGAAAATACACGCTTTCAGACTGGAAGAGCTGAGATGACGTAGTCTAGAATGGAGAAAATGGAGAGGGATTTAATACATCTTCACATACAGGAAAAAAGTTTCCTATAGAGAATAGCGATCCCTGTCATAGTGGACACGTAGAAAAAAAGAAGGGGGGGCTTAATTGTTTAATTTACAGGGAGATGTGATTTGGATACTAGGAAGAATTCTTTTAATTAAGAGAGTGGACAAGCACTAGAACAGATTAGGTAGAGAAGGCAAGGAGTTGCTGTTAAGACTTTTCAAGAACAAGTCAGACCAATGTTTCCCCAGCTGGGGGGCAGACTTCCTCAGGGGAGAGGACGTAAAGCGTTCTGCCAAGGGGTGCATGCCAGTCGTGGTGGCAGTTGACCACCTCCCTCCCACTTCAGCTGTTGCCGATTTGCCGTCAGTGAGGGAAGCAGCAGTTGAAGTAGGTAGGTGGGAGAGTGCCTGACTTTGTCGTGGTAGCATGTAAATCCACAACATTTAGGAAACACTGGGTTAACCAAACACTTAGCAGGTGTGTGTGTGTATATATTGTGTGTGTATGACTTCCTGAGGTCCCTCCCAGACTAATTTTTGATGATTCTGTGAACTTCTACTTTCTTAAGTAAGAATTGTCCTTTAAAGTCTGAAAAGGGGAGTACATCTCAGACTCTCAAAAATACAAAACCTGACCCTATTTTTGGCAAAAGCAAATCATGTCTATTTATGACATATTTTGCAGATGTGAATTGCATACATGAGAGAACAGGATGAGTCATACAGCCTTCCTCTCCAGCTCCTGAAACTACAGGGACTGTTGCTGATAGGTTCACAACAAGGGGCCTTTTTTCTCCTCCATATGCTTTAGGAACCGGTAGGACCTCTAAGGGTTAGGAAAGCATAGCCAGTCATGAACAGGATAGCACTTTGCAAAACACCAAGTTTTTTTCTTCTTTTTCTATTTTTTTTTTCTTGGTTAAAGAGAAGGGTAAAGTCTTGGCTAGAGATGGAGGGTATTGTCAGAGAGATGGAGAAGCGTAAATCTGATCCTGCAGGATAGTTCTGGTTATATGGGACTCCCTGCAGGTATAGCAGTCAACTGATATCAGCCTGGCTCTCTGGGTGAAGTCTACACCATGAAGTCCATTTGTAGTGGGACATAGTACAGTTTTGAAAGCCTCAGATGCTCTGGTTGAGATTCTCTGTAGAATAAGCAGCGTAGCATAGAACTTGCAGCCCAGGAGGAGGTAGGGTCACCATTGCATCTAAACCAGTAGGGGCGAACCTTTTTTGGTAGGTTTGCCACAAGTTAGCTTTGCAACCTCTCCAAAGTGCTACTCCAATCCCCTTCCTCTGCACAACCTGCTGCTCTGATTTCTGATTCCTGCCCAGCTCTCTGTCTTATCTGCTGCCTGCTTCATACACCTTCTGCCACTGCTATCTGCCTTTTCCCCAATCTGTGTCGCACGCAAACTGTCCATGCTGCTTGTGGCTACGTGCCATAGATTGGCCATCTCTGTGCTAAATCATGGTTCTGGAGGCTGGTAAAGCCATACTGGGTTGTTTCTGAGTTACAGCAGCACCCAGGCTGTGCTACTAAAATCTAGGCTCTCTGCTGCAAACCCTTTTCTGATATGGGCCCTTGAGAATCATGGAGTTGGAAGGGACCTCACAGGTTGTCGGGTTTAACCCTCTGCACAGATGCAGGGTTCACTGTTCTTTGCTAAAGTACACCATCCATGCACAGCTAGTTTTGATGACAGACCTCATGTTTAGTTATAGGACTTACCCTACGTCCTATATTGTGTAAAAGGTTGGAGCAGAGGTGAGGATCTTGCCTTTGGGTGAAATCTAGACCCTGTAAAAAAGTCAATGGTAGAAGGACTTTGATTGGCTTCAGTGGCGCAAGAATGGTGCAGAGCTTCCTGTATTAACATATTTGGCCCAATTTAATTATTTGTGAGCATCTAACAAAGTGCTGTACACATCAGTATTGTTTTCTTTTATATTAATTTTTTGCTTATGATTTGCTTTCAAATACTGGATATTACCTTGTGCCTTTACACTGTGTGTTAAAACATTTAGGTTTCATATACTAAATAGCGGTTTAGTTTTGCAGAATGGAATGGCTTACTCTGTCTCATCTGAAAGTATGGGTGTGGTGGTGTTCAAAGGGTGCAGATGCTGAAATGATGACATCAGTGAAAACTAGTTGGTAGCAGGCATTTCTACTCTTGTTTCTTTGCTCAGCCCATGTTAACTGGATTTTTTCCCCCCAATCATTTGGTTTGTTTGTGTCTTTGCAGTTATATTACCAAGTTCTAAATTTTGCCATGATTGTGTCTTCTGCACTTATGATATGGAAAGGTCTGATCGTCGTCACAGGAAGTGAAAGCCCCATTGTTGTTGTACTCAGGTATGCGTAAGTCCCTTTTTTTAGCAGGGAAGCACCTGTGTCTTTTTGATGTCGATATATTTCAAGTGATATTTTTATCTAATAGTAAAATCTAATTGCATTGATAAACGAGTACACAGGCCAACACTTCCTGAGGTCCCTAAATTTAACTCCAACTCGTGTTTAGATGCCTACATAAGTAGGGCCCTACTGAATTCACAGCAGAAGTGGGGTGCGCTGTGGCTCCTTTAATCTTGCAGGTTCCCTGACATGCCCCCTCCTGCCCACCCACTGATTGGTGGAGGGGCCCCACTTGCAGGTCGCTCCTGATTGGCAGGGACGCAAAAACTGTTGTTTTAAATATTATGCCATTTTTCCCTCCTGCCACTGATTGGTGAAGGGGCCCCAGCAGCCCCGCCATTGACCAGCAGAGAGGTAAAAACAATCCCCCCTCCCTCACCCCCAGCCGTCAGCAGCTCACCAAAACTCACTGAGTGGCTCTCTCCTAGGGCCTGGCCCCATGCTGTCACTGCCTGGCGATCCCAGGGTCTCCATGGAGACTGGCCCATGACCCAAGTGGACTGAGCATGCCCAGCCTGACAGATGGGTGGGGGGCCACAGGCAGGCAGGAAGTGGGAGGGGTAGCTGGGGCTGGGATTGCAGAGCGATGACAGTGCAGGGCAAGGGCCTTTATCCGATCCCTGCCTGTGGAACTGGTGCCTATTGCAGAGGCAGGCAGAGGATTGTGGCTCTGCCCTAGGACCTGGCCCCATGCTGTCACCACCCCAGGAACCCAGCACTGAATACCACTCCCTGCCTGCCCACAGCCCCATCTCATCCACCTGTCTGAGCATCCCTTATCCTCACAGGTCCTGGACCAGTCTCCATGGAGGCCCTGTCTGCCCACTCCATCTGGTGCTCCCAGTGGTTGGTGGACCGAGGTGCCTGGGCAGCAGGGCCAGGTCTGGCGGCAACAGCAACACTGGCAGCTCCCTGCACCTGAGCCAGGTGGGACTGAGGGACCTGCCATGGGCCAGATGAAATCCTTTTGCAGGCTATATTTTGCTTGCACCTGGTTTAAACATCTGTCACCAAATAAAGTATATCAGCTGTGACGAGGTATTCAGCTACAGATCCTCTTCATGGGGCAAAATGTACACCAGCTGTTGTTCCACATGGGGGCAGCCATCCTGCAGGATAGTGGGCAATGTGTTCCCCCATGCCCTGGGTCATCTCTAGGGTATCTCTCTCTAAGCAGAAAAAAACGGGGTTCCCTGCATACAGAGCTGTCCCAGTGATTGCCCAGGGTGCATCTCTGCAAGAGAGGAAAGTCAGGCAGGTTTTTCCCTGACTTTACAAGCCCAGTCCTGTGCAGAAATTCCCAGGGCGCACAGAATTGGGTCCTCAGTCCTTGAGAGTGTCTGCCTGGGGCAGCTGGAGAGTGGGCAGCTGCAATAAAGCGGCAGAAACTATTACCACCTTTGCCACGGCCAGAAATTTTGGGCCTTTGTGGCATGACAATGGATACAGACATCTTTTGCTCAGCCTTTGTGTCGCCATAATAATTTTTCCACCTTAAAGTAATGAATTAGAAGTACTTGGTATTGTCAGTTTATCATCTAAATGGCTTTTATAGAAATAATATTTCTCTTGCTTGGAGATCTTGGTTTTTATAATCTTGTTATGTTGATGTTAGAGCTGGCACCAGCTGCTGCTGGCAGCAACTGTTCCCTGAAGAGGTATTTATAAATATCTGTGGTATAGATCAGGGGTTCCCAGCCCTTAGGCCGCAAAGGTTTGGCTGCCAGTCTGCAGGCGGGCTGGCTACTGAGGACTGGAAGTGACCGTGGACCTGCAAACTGTGGCCTGGAAGTGACTGACATGCTGCAGACCAGCAGCCATACTCAGCCATACTGAGTATAAAAAAGGTTTGGCTGCCTGCCCGCAGGATGCTGGTCCACGGCCACTTCCAGTCCGTGGTTTGCCGGTCCTTAGCATAAAAAGGTTGGGAACCCCTGGTGTAGATCTCTTAATGGCTATAGGTAATTTTATACTTTTGCCAAATAAATGCTTCATCCTGCAAACCCATTAGGGCTCTACAAACATACAAAGCTAACATATTATGTCAAGTATATCGGTGTTTGTTGGGTTGGAACCCAAGTGCATTGAAATTAGGTCAAGAAAGATAGGTTGTAATAAACAGTAGGATTTTTGATAGCAAATGTCTGTCCATTTGTCTGGTTTTAGGTGCAGCCAAGTTTCTGTACTGGCTTTTAGCAAATCCTTGAATGATTTTGTCTGGATATTTGTAAGATAGAACTATGCTATAAATCAAGGGAGTCAAACTTGTTTGACCCTCCAGGCCAGTGTAGACTAGGGCTTCCAGCGGGCCAGATCAGGGCCCACCTCCAGTGGCAGGGTGAGCATTGGCACCAGAGAGCGATTGGGAGTTAACATTGACAATGCTCAGGCTGCCACTGCTGAAACACGTTCCCAACAGGGCTCCATACTCTGGAATTCAGCAGCAGGCTTCACCCCTTCTCTCCTTGGTCTTTCCAGAAGCTCTACAGGTTGGATGGCTCCCTTACCCACAATATTCAAGGGTGGCTCCTGCCTTGTAACACCTCAGTCAGAATGTGGTGATTCAAAGCACTTCCATATGAAGCCATTAAGGTTCTTGTTCTTGTTGTAGATTTTAGACTGACACTGGAATTGGATTCTGCAAGAGATTGGGAATGGGATCTGCAGGCTCTCTCCTCCAGGCTGCTGCCTTTTAAGCCAAACGCTGCAACTGGCTTTGAAAAGAGAACTGAACCCTTATGATGGTTACTGTCTAGAACTATACAATTTCAGGCTAATCAGGTCTGCATGATGCAAGTGAGAGGCTGACTGCAAGAGTTAAGCCTTTTCTGTGCATAATATTATTAGGGGTGCACCAATAGAGATTTTGGGGGCCAGTACCGATAGCTGATATTTAAGGAGGCATATTGGCCAATATTGATCTGATTTCCAATACAGCTGCATGCAGCTGGTAAGTCTGTTGTGGTGGGAAGGGGAGGTGGGGGTATGAAGGGGTGGGTGGGGGGGTTGCAGATCAATGCCCCCCATGGTGATGGTTGAGGCAGACACTGGTGCTGCCCAGCCAGGGTGGGGCAGGATACAGGATGGAGCCACGGCTCGTTGGGGGGGGGCAGCTCCTGCCCCTGCATGCACCTGGGAGGGCATGGGGGGATGGGGCGTGCCCCCCCAGATCTGCATGGGGTGGGGTGGGGTGGGGCATGCAGGCTGCAGCTGTGGGCTGGAGCCAAGGCAGAGCCAAGGCTGCGCCAGGCTCTTCTCCATGGGGGCTGGGCTTGGGGCAGGCAGAGGTGACTCTGGGAAGGGGGCTGTGGAGGAGGCTGCAGCCACCACAAATTTCAGCGTAGCCTCCCGTAGCTGTGCTCTCAGCACCACTGCTGCTTGCCCAGCACAGCCCTGGCTCGTCCTGGTGCGATGGGGGTTGATCTAGGGCTGCACCGGGTGGGCGGGGGTGGTTCTGGGAACAGGGTATGGGGGGACTACAGCGAAATTTGGGGTGGCTGCAACCCCCTTCGTAGCCCCCCTCCAGGCACTGCTGCTGCCTGCCCCAAGCCCATTCCCACAGAGAAGAAGCTATGCAGCCCTGTCTCCAGCCCGCCAGCCCTGCGCAAATGCAGGCGGCACATGCCCCCCTGTGCCTTCCCAGGATGGGCGCAGCAGCGGGAGCTGCTCCCTCCCTCCCCTCCCCCTTCTCCCCTCTGACAAGCCACAGCTCTGTCCTGCACATCATCCCACCCCAGCTGGGCAGCACCTACCCCTGCCCCCTCCCTCCCTCCCTCCCCCACACCTTGTCCACCACAACAGACTTACCAGCTGCACGCGGCTCTCCACACTGCCAGGCTGTGCTCCTTGCTGCCTGTGTGCTGCACTGTGGCTGTGCGCATGTATGGGCCTTTATCAGCCAAATTATTGGGCGCTTCAGGCCAATTTCTGGTGCAGCCAATTTTCTTTATATTAGTACTGATCCGATATCAGACTGATGTATCGGTGCGCCTCAATATTATATTTTCTTTTGCTGTTTCATCCAAGTAATACAACTTATTTACTCTAACTTGTTCATTGGAACCTCAGGATTAGGTTTTCACAGGCTGTTACTTATATCGGGATTTCTTGATAAATAGCTTTGTGATCATGGTTCTTTGGAGGTTTTTTTCCCTAAGGAGGTGTTTAATGAAAGGACAAAAGTTGAGGTTGGTTAAAATAATAAATTTGTCCAGAGTTGTTAGTTTTTGTATTACTTTCTGAGTTCTTGTATTCAGCCTTATGACTGCAGTATAATCTTGTTATTTCTCTTTCTGTTTGCAGTGGCAGTATGGAACCAGCATTTCACAGGGGAGACTTGTTATTCTTAACGAACTTCCAAGATGACCCAATCAGAGCTGGTGAAATAGTTGTTTTTAAAGTCGAAGGCAGAGATATTCCTATAGTTCACCGAGTAATCAAAATTCATGAAAAGTAATGAAACTTTGGCATGTTCATTATTTCTAAATATGATAATGCTTCTATGTAATTTGATACTGTCTCCTGAAAATGGGCAGACATCATGCATCGTAAAAGAAACTACTTTGTCTTCTTTATTTTTACAACCAGAGTCGTGCCATAGGCTTTTTACTAGCAGACCTCTTTGCCTGGGTGAACTGCCACCAGCTTACCTTGTGTGTGCATGCCCAAAGAGTAGCCTAGTAACAAAGACTCTGGTCCTTGAAGTCAGCATGTGTTTGTCGGAGCAGTGGTCCAAAGTGACTGTTGTGGATTTGGGACCTTTTTTTACTGGAAAAAGTGACTCAACACACATTTTCAAAAATGATAGTACAAGGGTGCTGGTTTTCAGAATTGTGCAGTGAATTCTGTCGAATACAAGGCCATCGATAAAAGGAGCTTTCCAAAAGCAATAGTGGATTTGACACACAATGAATGAAAAAAGCCTTTTTTGCTTTCCTTGTGTGAAGTAATACTAGTCGCAGTCCCACAGATGATTTATTCTCTCCAAAAAGAGCTAGTGAAAAATCTGTTTTATCTTTCATAAACATCTGACATGTTTATTAGAAATAACTGAATAATGATGCAACCAACACAGACACCCATATGCTGCACATGATGGAAAACTCTTTCCAAAAGAATACGTGTTAATTTTTTTGCCGTTAAAGAGTAATGGTATAATCTGGGACTTTGGATGTTGTTCCAGTTGCCTCTCTGAGCTTAGTGAACTGAAGATATTGTTTGTTCTTTCAGCAAGTGCCAGCTGTTAAATTTATAGTTCTAACTGAAAGATCCATTCTTAGTATTTTGTTAGGCAAATTTCTGCGCTATGGTTAATTTTGAGTGAGTACTTGAAACTGTGGTCCTCCAGAAAACTCCCTGGAAGATCCCCAGCTAAAACAGTGCCTTTTTCAACTCCTTTTTTTTTTTTTTATATTAATATCAAATGGGAGCAGACAGCAGTATTACTGTAGATATAGTAGAATGAATTATTTTGTGTCTGTTGGTATGCTCATTCAAAGTAGCTTACACCCTTACTGAGTGGGGAACCACTTTACCTGCTGCCAATGCAGCCCTTTCTGGAGTGAAAAGTGGCAGCTTTTTAACAAGGCACAGTAACCTGTGCAATGTTCAGAACAAAGCAAAGCCTACTTTTTCAATGTGAAGCAACAGGAAGAGAATAGAGTTTAGCCAAGACACATAGACAACCGAGGGCTTTCTAACAGCTGTAAGGGACTAGGACTTCCTGAAGAGCACTGCCTGTTGAATCACCAGTATAACTTCTGTTATACCATAAAAGTTTTGCATCCAAGTCATGTCTCTAATGAAAGCCCCTTACATGTCCAGAGTTCCTCATATGATTTCCTCTAAATGGACCATTATCATTTAGTAATTTTTTTTTACTCAAAATCAATAACGCATAATTGATTCTGCCTGTAAAGAAGCGATTGCACTGCAGAACAGCGAGTTTTACGTGGCTTCTCATTTGTGGTGCAGTCTTGTGTGGTTTTAGTGCTGAGTCTGGTATAGATGTAATCCTTTCTCCAGTTTAAAAGGATACCAAAAGTTCATTGAATCAAGAAAAGCCTTACAGTTCTTATCCTCAGAAAAGCATAGTGTATCAGTACTGTTCACTGCTGTGAATTGAACAAGTATATAGGAATCAGTCCAATCTATTAGTTAATTTCCAGCTATCAGGCCCATTCTGGTACTTTAGCTACTATTTCAGCAAAAGCAAACTTCAGATACCTTAAACCTGATTAATCTAGTTAGTCCTTCATACGAGATGATTGTGATACTGCTCTGGGAATCTTGGCTGCTGACAGACACGGAAAAGGAAAAAAACTCACTTTACTGGAAGAGGCAGCATGCTAGTTCAACCCAGCTCCACAGTTTTAAAGTGCCATTTTTGTGGGGGGGTTTATGTCTGTAAGCCAAAATGAAAATGCCCTGTAATTTGCTAGTTGGTTTGACTTCCTCAGACATTTTTAAACCAGTATTTCATGGTTCTTGCTAGGCCAGCATTTAGCAGTAGAGTAGGAATCCTAAAATACTAGTAACAGAGCTCTGTTTTCCACACCTGTGCATGTATGTCTCCCGTTGATCCTAATAGGAATTATTTACGTGTGTCTGGTGCTGGTGGCAAGTATATGATCTAGCGCTGAGTGTTTAAGTGCTTGCTTTTAAACTATTAACAATTTAAAAACAGTTCTGTATTGAGTTACCAAATCTGTCAATAAAAAACATAAAATGAATGCCTTGATATTTAATAAACAGGTAGAACAAGCAGAACTAGATGTGAAGACTGATATAAAATCTTTAAGTACCTTGTATGTAGGCAGGATTTTTCATCTTTGTTGTCTTTTGCAAATGTTAATTAATAGGATTTTATATTAAGTAGTAATCTGCCATTTGTTGCCTTCCAGAGAGAATGGAAATATCAAGTTTCTGACTAAAGGTGACAATAATGAAGTTGATGATAGAGGACTGTACAAAAAAGGGCAGAACTGGCTAGAAAAGAAAGATGTTGTGGGAAGAGCAAGAGGGTAAGAGAAATATCTTTATCTTTTTTCCCTAAACATATTTTTCCTGCACCAGGAAAACAAAAATATATGCTAGAAAGGATTTTGTGTTATAGTTGGTACTAATAGATTTTTAGAGCTAGTTGGAAAACTCCGAACAATGCCCGTCAGAAAAGGGCAACTCGAAACAAAAACTCTTTGCAGGGAAAAATCAGTTTCAATAAAACTACCAATTTGAAAAGATTTTTCAGAAAAGTTTAGAAATTGTTGGTGTCTTTTTTCAGTCGTTTATAATAAAAAGTTTTATTTTCCAGCTTGAAATTGTCGTACATTTTGAATTATTCTTTATTTTTAAATTGGTTTAAAATCAAAATGAAATGTTTTGAGTAATGCTGTCTGAAATGAAGTCAAAATTAGTTAGCCAAAATCTTTAAGACTTATTTTCATCCTGAACCAGGTCGGGAAGAAGGAAAAAATAATTTTAGACTCTTAGAATTGGAAAGTCATTCCCTACCTGCTTCCTAGTAGAATTACTGGAAAAATTCAGATTTGTTTTTATTTTTATCCTCTTCTCATAAGGGTGTAAATGCACCTAAAGATTCATTTATCTTTTAGACCACAGGTACTCAACTTTTGGCCTATGGGCCAAATGTGGTGTGAAGAGCTATTGCATCTGGCCCACAGGGCTCCCCAGGTCAGAAAATCTTGCAGCAGGGGAGAGTGGTGGTATTAAAGGACACTGCTCCCCTGCTGCCAAATTCCCATGCCTCCTTCCCCCCAGGTGGCAGGATTGGGGCCAGGCCATGCCCCCTGCTCTCCTCCATGTGGCCAGATAGGGTCCTGTGGCACCCACCCAAGCACTGACTCAGGGCCACTGATCAGGGCCAGATGGAAACTGCCAATCTGGCTTGTTGTGGAAAAACATAGGGCACCACTGTTTTAGACTGATCGTATTGACTGTTTGCCATAAGACTAACTTCCAGAAAACACTTTTAAAAGTAATCCACAACCCTGAGCCAAGCATTTAGTGCCAAGATCATTTTTACTATTCCAGTTTGAAGCTCTAAAGCTGCATAAAGACCTAGCCCAAAATCTGCTGATGCCTCAGGCTGTTTCCTGTTATCTTCAGTGGGCTTCACATCAGGCCTGATCTGTCTTGACAGCCTGAGAGTCACATATTTGTACTGGGCCATCTAGCCACTCTTGATGGCTTGTAGGTTTTTCATGCGATACGTTTATTCTTGAATTGACAGTCTTTATGTAGACACCCAGAAATTCATTGCTGTTATCGCTATGTTCATGCTGACCCAAAAGCACCTACCTCTTTTTCTATTTGTAAGGATTTTGGGTTCCTATCTTTGCACTCAAAATTATTTTTTAGAAGCCTTTCAGTTCTAATAGGTTATTTTTTTACTAAATTACATCACTCACCCATGTTAAATGATGATACTTTTATAGCTGTATAACAAGTACTTAACTGCCATTCTTGTGTACATATAGATAGATATAGATATTGTCTGACCAAATATTAAGTAACATGCAGCAGGATGAAGCTTTTTCTAATGGGAGGAAAAGAGCTATAGAGTTACCTCTCTCCCCCACCACCATCCCATTCCTGCGTTTTCAAATACACATGCTCTTCGGCATAATTTAAGTCTTGCAGTATCTTTAGACGCTTTTGTTTCAGTGAAACAGCTTGCTCTGACCTATTTATTTTAGATAATATTTAGGCATCTCAGACGCTCAATGATTGTAAGAATTTTACATTAGTCTGTTTATCTTTTGTCCATTAGGTTTTTGCCTTACGTTGGAATGGTTACCATAATAATGAATGACTATCCCAAATTTAAGGTATGTAAGCAGTATTTTCTATATTCAAACTATAAAATTATACAAGCCATAACAAGTTAAACTCTATAAAGGAGCAATTGCTCCACATACATAAAATATCTAGTTAGCTAATCTGTATCCACTATTTTGATTGCCATGGGAAAAACTAGCCATATAGTATATTTTCATGCAGACTTCTTGTGTTTTCAGTGTGCTCAGGAGCAATTAATATTAGATAATCAGTGTTTACTACAGTAATGGGCAGCCTAGACATACCTTTGTCATATGATATCAGCTCGCCTATACGAATATATTTTTGTGCTCAAATCAACATGTACTACATCTTTTGTACATATTTTGCAATAAATATGGTCATACAAAATATCTTTTCAATCCCTCTGTAGTCCTAATACCACGATTGTCAACTAGTCCAGGAAGCTTAATGTTGGAAAGAGATTTTTTTTTTCCCTGCATAGCAGATACCTCCTTTAGAGCTTTTACATGGAACTAGCATAATCATTCTTTGTTTTCTTCACAGTATGCTCTTTTGGCAGTAATGGGAGCATATGTATTACTGAAACGGGAATCCTAAAGAAGAAAGAAAATGTCTTGCCCAAGATTGAAGTTAATTATATTGGAAAAACTAATATATTTCAGATGTTCCAATTTCTTTATAAGACTGTGCAAACTGTGTCTTGTACAAATAAATTGTAAAATTAAGAAGTACATATGTTGTTTATTTGCTCATTTTACATTCTAAATTTTACCCATTTTATTTTCTTAGATGAGCGAAGTGACTGGCTTGCATACTGTTAAGCCAGGTACTTCCAGAGTTCATTGCCATGATGGTGAATTTATCCAAATGACAGACTTTATGTATAGCATTGGATTTGACCAGGAATGCCTAACATGATGATTTAATATAGTTGTGCTCTGAGAAATTGAAAGGGGGAGAGATTTTACTTTATGACCTCTCTGCTGATTATCTTTAAGATTTCTGGTTAGTGGAAATGAAAGAGTCGTAATCTAGTATTCTGAAGTATCATGCAAATACATTACTATGAGGTAAGCCAAGTTGCAAATTCACATCATGTGGTAACCAACTCTGTGTACACTGCTATATTCTGCATTTACCACAGGATAAGTTACCTGTCACTGTGGCATTAGAGTATGCACTCAGAAATGACCATGGTTGATATAGTCTATACCCTAGCTTACCTCACAGTGGGCGTGTCTACACATGAAACTAATGTGATGCAATAAACTCTGGTGCATGTTGCACTGGAGTTTATTGCTCCCAGGTGCAGCATTTACACGTGCACCCAGGACCACAATACTTTAAGCTGGGTCAGAGCAGCCTTGGCCCGGGGCTGCTCCAACCCACTCAACGTCCGGCAGAGGGGCTGGCTAGGACACAGGGGTGCTCCAGTGTGGGGCTAGATGGCAAGCAGTCCCTGCACTGTAGCACCCTCATGCCCCAGCCAGTCCCGTCAGTCCCTACCCATGCACTGCACACTAAAAAATGCCACTGTGTTCACTAGTACTAATGTCAGAGTTAATTAGTTTCCTGCTGCCTAATAGAGCCACATGTGTAGATGCTGAGACTACTGCAGTGCTAATTGGGCAACCCCACAGTAAACATCTTGTGTAAATGCATCCAGTGACTCATTTGTGATCCATGCTTTGAATAAAGGACTGAGAAGGAGGACCTTTTGGAGTTGGGTCCTAAGCTGTAAACTTGTTTCAAATTTCTTGTCCAAGGCTTCAACGTGTAGTCTGAGTTTCAGAAGTACACAGCATTCATATCTCTGAAAATCAAATTGTTAACATCTTCATTATTTATGTATGTAAAATGAGGTAGTGTATCTGTACTCAGATCTAAGATGAGGGTTTTTATCCTCCACAATTAGCACCAGGGGGAAGTAACCTTGACTTGGATTAGAGTACTGCCCAGATCAGACAGCTTCTGTGGCCTCTGCTTCAGGCCTGGGATGAAGCCAAGGTCAAACCACTACCTGACCCAGGCCAGGGTGGCCCATGCTAGTGGGGGAGGGGGTGTGCGGTGAGGGAAGCACAGGAGATGGCAAGGTGGGGCAAGGCCGGGTTGAGACCCACAGGTTGTGGCTTGTGAAGGGTGTAAGGAAGACTATGAATCCTGCCCACAACCATCCTCTGCCCGCCCCCCCACTTACTTTCTGCTCTAGCTCCAGGCCTGACCTGGACCTGCTGCCTGTCTGGGTTTGGGCTGCTGCTGACTGCCCCAGAGCCAGAGCTGCTTTAAAAGCTAAGTGGCCCCGGGGGAGAGAGGCTAGGGGCAAGTAGACAGTGGGTGGGCAAGTGGCCTGGGGAAGAAAGGGAAATGGGGCAAGGGGTGGGGGTTTGGTTGCCTGCCCTCTCCTCTACCGCTTCCTGTTGCAGTGGTAGTGGCAGGGGACAGTTTTAAGACAACGCCCCAATGATTAGATAATATACATGAAGAATTATAAAAAAATATAATAATGCATAGAGTCTGTTTATTGGGGGGTTGTCTTAAATTTCAAGTCATTTTAGATTTGGGCAAATATACTAATACGAGGTTTTGTGAAGTTTACTTAATACTTGACAATTGTTAAATGAAAAGCACTGGGAGTACTTAAGTGATGTTACTACTAATAGAACGGCAAGAAATATATTCAGATTCCCGTCCTGACACTGTTCTCTCCCCATCGTGGTATTTCATAAGAATGTTAAACAAAAAATCTGAAAGCCATTCTAAAATTTCCTTTAATTTAACCTTATCATGAAATTTCTGGATTTGTTTCTTTCCTTGGTTCTTAATGTTGTTGATATTGTTGTCTGCACTAAATTGGAGGTGATTTTCCTTGCATCCTTTCTGCAGTTTGATAAAGAACAGCATGAGCTTTTTACAAGGAGTTTTGTTTCCACTTTAATGTCTTACCTCTATGAAAGTTTGCTATTATACAATAATGGCCCCCCTTCTGTTGAAACGAGCATTGCTGAAAGGCAATCTACCACTTCATCCTTCCAAGAAGCATTATTTTTCTCTGTCGCTTAGTAAACTGTTTCCCCAACAAATGGGATTACAAAAAAGCCCTTTTATGACAATAATGCAGACATGAATTTGAAGATAATAAAAACACATCAGAATAATTTAGATAGTTAATGCAATCTTCCTGGTGGGGTGCCTTCAAAGATAGGAAAACTAAATAACTTTTGAAGGTAACAGATATGTGACTTGACAGATTTGATATCAAATGTTAATGGTGATAATGAAGGGTTGTTCTCACCTAGGAGAGACTTGATTCCACTTTTTTCCTAGTGGTGATAATTACAAGTTATTTTTGTCTCCCTATAATTATGTGTATGCCATCACAGTTAATTTCTGGTTTTGTGGAGATGTTTGGTTGTGCTTTGGGAGGAATGGCATGTTTTCTGTAGGGGAGCTATGTGCTAGATAGGCTAGACTGGTAAGGGCTCAGGTATAGAAAATTTGAAGGTGTCCATTTAGTTGACTCTCAGTAAAGGATGCTTGGTTTTAAGTTCTCTTCACAAATCCAGACAAGGTTCCTTGGCTGAATTTGATATCTTTCATTAGACCAACCCAAATAGTTGGAGAATAGTTATTAAGCAAGCTTTCGGGTTCAAAAACCCTTCGTCAGGCTAAGGAAGTTTCAGCAGTTGGTGTGTGCTCTTCCTGGCTTCTTTACTTTTTATTCCATCCAGGAAGAGCACACACCAACTGCTGAAGCTTCCTTAGCCTGACGAAGGGTTTTTGAACCTGAAAGCTTGCTTAATAACTGTTCTCCAACCATTTGGGTTGGTCTAATAAAAGATATCAAATTCACCCAAGGTACCTTGTCTGCCTATGTTCTTAGACCAACACGGCTAAAACCTACACCCCTTCACAAATCCAGCGCTCTTCAAATAATCAGATTTTATTTAGGTCTAATTATACCAGACTTGGTTCCAGCCAGGTATCTGAAGATCCACAAACTTCATCCAAAAAAGTAAGAATTTGTCAGTCAAATCCACCACTTTATCTAAACATATGTTTGTTTGCAGTACAGCAAACGTAGGGATAAAGTTTGTGATTTTGCTTGTAAGTGCCCTAGCTCACAGACCAGAATCCATGGTGGTAGGTGCCGTCCAAACACAGACCAAAAAAAACCGGTTCTCGCTCCTACGAGCTTACCACCAAGTTTGGGAGCAAAGGGGAAGAGAATTTCAGAAATGTAGATGTGAGCTTGAATGAGCTATCCGCTCTCAAAGTGAAGGATGGTGTAGGCCACACCCCAAAGGTCAAGGAGGAGTCTCATAAAGCTGACCGTTTGTTTGATCTTGTCTTTGGTTATTTTGGATTCATGAGTCATCCTTTGGAATGCTCCCACCATCTTCTCCATGTGTTTCAATGAAGAAATAGTCCACTGTTCTCTCTGTAGCAGAGCTCTAATATTTCAGCCTAGATCCAAAGAAGTCTGGCCTCATAGGCTGATGAGGCAACATTTGATATCTTCGTGGCAAGAGAGAGATGAAAGGTAGCATGAGGAATAGGTCCAAGGCTGCTCTGCATGGCATGTTGAGCTGGGTGTCCTGGATGCACATGTAAATGCTGCACCTGGGAGCAATAAACTCCAGTGCAATGTGCACCAGAGTTCATTGCATTGTATTAGTTTCATGTTTAGACATACCCACTTTGTGTGTGTGTGTGTGTGTAATATATGTATATATGTGTGTATATACACAAGGGCACACTACATAATGTATTAACAGAAATATTGTAAGAGACTCATGTAATCCTTCAACTTGCTCAACCATGGCAAAAATCACATCTGGAGTAGCATCCAGTTTTGAGCACTATATTGCAAGAAAGGACCAATCAGGGTTTCCAAAGGAAATCAGCAAAAATGGTTAGAGATTCAAATGCATGTCGAGGAAAGATGGAAAGAAATGGGTTTGTTCCTTCTAGAGAGAAAGTGCTGAGGTGAAAAATGAGTCTTCTAAAAGTTCACTACAAAGGGGATGTTTTATAAACTGCCCTCTGTGTCCAATGGAAATAGGACAAGAAGTCAGGAAGATTTTGGTTAGACCTTAGGAAGTGCATTCTAAGTATAAAGATAGATCAGCACTGAAACAAGCTGTAGAATTTCCATCATGAAGTTTGGGGGGCAAGGAAGTGTTAAAATCAGAGTATACAACTACCGTATAGTCAGTCCTGCTTTGGGGAAGGAAAATAGACTAGACTTCCTAAGGTCCCTTCCAGACCTATGTTCTATAATCCTATAAAGCCTTAAATTCCCAAATCCTGGTAATATGACCTGCAAAGGGATGTGTGGATCTTGTGGGGGGGTTTTGTGGGTTTTTTACTGTCCACAAAAAGGCTTTTTGACACAAACTTTGATCATTACCTTAGAAAATTTGGTCTTGTGTACACTTTTTTCAGCCAGAGCAAGCTGTAGGAACACTTGGTCCTTATCTGTTTGGTTTGTTGTTTTGGGTTTTTTTGTTTTTGGGTGGAGGGGAGGGTTTGGGGGTAGGGGGGGTTGTTTTTTGGTTTTGGGTTTTTTTTGCATCCCTTTGGTAGTGGAGGTAAATCTATCAGCCAGCCTTGATGGCAAAATAATCTTGCAACTTGGTTAAGAAAATGTTTTCTTCCTGCTGTGACTAAATTACTCTGCATTAGAATTATTTAATGTCTGCTTGGAACATCATTAGTCATATTTACAGTG